GAAATAAAAGGGTAAAATTCGGGTTCAGTATCAAAAAGAGGTACATGGGCAAGGTCATGAAAGGTCCTTGAGACGGAGAGTACATACCTCCCCTTGACAATAAGGAAAGTTCTTGGAGAAGACAAATTCCCAGCTGAAACATCTCTCAGAGAACTCTTGGCCTGTGTCACTCACTGACACTTTTTTCTTTTTAATTTTTTATTTTAAGATTTTGTTTTACATTCAACATGGCATGTACATTTAGTTTCACTCCCCATTTACTATGCCCAACCCTAACCCAGTCTCCTCCCCTCCCTGCTCAGTAACGCTCCTCCCATGCCTCTCATAATTATACACTCCTGTTTGTCCTGCATTTCCTCCATGTGTATGGTGCCCTGTGGTTGATTGCTCCATAGAGTATGTGGGTGGGTCACCCTGGGTTGAGTGGTCTGCATGTACCACATGTACACTTGTTTACTATTGTGCTGAGAGCAAGCCATTGGGAGTGAGCTTTGTTCCAGGCCCAGAATGTATCCCAGGACCATAGTATTAGGGGTCTCACCAGACTCCATCTGACCAGTAATTCTGGTCATTATTGAGTTTTTGTATTTTGTTCCACCTTCTTCCTCCCACTCTACCCAGGATCTCCAGATTTGATCCTTTCCTGAGTGATTGGCATTGGTAGCCAGGCACCATCTAGTTCTTCTGGTTCTGTATTATTCTTTAGGGTTGCATAGTATTCCATTCTGTGTATGTTTCACAGTTTGGTTATCTGCTGCAAAAGACCTCTTTAAAGTGCTGAAGAGCAAAGATTTGTCATAACTAAGGCTCAAGTAACCCAATCCGTGGCATTTTCAGTAGCGTCATGAGCATGTGAAAGCTGGACAGTGAATAAGGAGAACTGAAGAAGAGTTGATGGTTTTGAGTTGTGGTGTTGGTGAAGAATACTGAAAGTACCATGGAGTGCCAGAAAAACTAACAAATCTGTCCTGGAAGAAGTATAGTCGGAATGCTCCTTGGAAGCGAGAATGGCCAGATTTCATCTCACCTACTTTGGTCATGTTGTCAGAAGGGACCATTCCTTGGAGGATATCAGCTTGGTAAAGTGGTGGGTCACTAAAACATGAGAAGACCCTCAATGACATGGATTGACACAGTGGTTCAATGATGGGCTTAAGCATAGCAAGGATTGTGAGGCTGGTGCAAGACTGGGCATTGTTTTGTTGTGCTGTACTGGAGTCATTGAGTTGGAGCCTACATTACAGCATTTAAGAGTAACAACAAATTACATATATGTGTTTATGTGTAGGAGCTCTGGTGGTGTAGTGCCTAAGGCATTTGACTGCTAACCAAAAGGCTGGCAGTTCAAACCCACCAGCCACTCCCTGGAAAAAAGGTTGGGCAATCTACTTCTGTAGTGATACCGCCTCAGAAACCCAAGGAGGGGTTGCTGTGATTTGAATCCGACTCGATGGCAGTCGGGTTTATGTATAAGTGCTGAAGGAGCCAGGAGGCAACATCTTCTGGCCTTCTCTAATTTCACAAGTTGTGGTTATGTGCCATCAAGTCGGACAACTCATAGCGACGTCTTCTTGGGTTTCCAAGGCAATATGACTACAGAAGTAGGTTGCCCAGCCTTCCTTCCTCTGAGTGGCTGGTGGGTTTGAACTGCCAGCCTTCTGGTTAGCAGTCAAGTGTCTTAGGCACTACGCTACCAGAGCTCCTACAAGAGGAAGACAGAATCACCATCAGCAGCCCAAGGCCTGTTTTTGTAAGGCCACACATGCCACCACCCTCCAGCCCTCTCATGAACCTTGATGCCAACTGTCCCTCTTGTGGCACCCATCACCTCTCTGATGGGTTCAATAATTTGCTGCAGTGGCCACACAGAACTCACAGATTATGGGGTTTATTAGGGAAGCAACAGGTTACAATTCAAGTTCAGGAACATGCTTAGTCTCTTGCAGTCATACCATGTAATTTAATATACCACAGGTCACCCCCTGGCTTTTCTAGACATTATCCCTTTTTTCCTTTAAAAATTAACATTCCCTTCACCATCACCTTTAAGAAAATCACACCCATGAAAGTGTGTAAGCCAGGCACTTCATGCCTTTATCTCCCCTCATTTTAGATTGCCAATTTTCTAATTTGACCATCCATATCAAACCAGTACTCTGAGGAGACAAGCATGTTCCTTTCTCTCTGGAGAATTTTTTGTTCTGCTTGGAAACTTTGGACATCTGCATCCATAAACAAGCAAAGCCCAGCCCAGCACAAGCCATCAAATTGCAGCAACTTAACTCCAGCTCACTGTCAAACAGCTTCCTCTTCATTTGGTCAGGTTCTGATCAGCTCAACCCTAGCCATCCCAGCTAGGTCATGGGTTCCTGCCGTGAACTTTGGGAGTCACACTCTTCACTTCAGACCAGCCAGCCCTTCCTGTCATACCTAGCCTCTGTGGCCTAGGTCAAAGAGTACCAAACTCAGCCGGTTTCTTCATTACTACACTTCCCCCATTTCCAGTCTTCAAGTGGACCCAGGTGGTCACAGGCAAGCAGCATACAAGCCTACTGCTCGCTGACTTCCTCTAACTTTCATTTCTAGAAGGGGTTTCTCTCATAGACCATGACTTTCCTGCCTGGATTCACCCAAAGCCTCTTTGCTTGCTGGAAATTCAAAAAGCTAAACAGTCATTATTTTTCTCTAAATGACCTTTCTTCAAATGCAAAATTTCTGTTCTCTCAGTAGTTCTAGGTGGGTCTTTTCAAATGCAGATTTCCTCACTCAGCAGGTTTTGGGTGGCACTTAGGTTTTCTACTTTAGCCCCCTGTACTCTACACATGGGAGCTCTGGTAGCATAGTGCTTAAGGCACTTGACTGCTAACCAGAAGGCTGGTGGTTCAAACTCACCAGCCACTCCTAGGAAGGAAGATGGAGCAATCTACTTCTGTAGTGATACTGTCTCGGAAACCCAAGGAGGGGTCGCTATGAGTCTGGTCCAACTCGGCACGTAACAACAACAACAACATACTCTACATACAGAATTTGAAACAAAAGCCTGTGTTTCTGCTGGGCAAATTCCATTTTGATGTATTCAAGTATTGGCTAACGGTGGACTTATCCATACTCAGTAATCATTTCTAATGTACAAATAGGTAAGAGAACATTCAGTACCCATAGTACATTTAGATACATACATAATCCAAAATGCATAATCCTTTTTAAGACATTCCAGTTTGAGCTCTTCACCTTGATTATCTTTCCATTCTATGTATATGGCCTTGGGCCTTTGGCTGGGTGTAACCAAAGCCCTAGCCTCTGCATTAATTATCTCCTTTAGTAGGTAACACCAACCAAAGTAACCATCTAAGAATCCACAGTTTCATTTCCCAGGCCCCTTCCCTCCTTGTTTTACAAAGTCCCATGCTTCTGTGAGTCTGGAGCCACTGTAAGGAATCCCACTGCTTCTGACACCAGTTACTGAAGGGGGAAGGAGTTGCCATCTTCTGACCTCCTCTAACTCTACAGTAGGAAGACCGAATCACCATCAGCAGCCAAAGGCCCATTTATGACGCCAGACATGCTGCCACCCTCCAGCCCTCCTAACATCCTTGATACCAACCGTCCCTCCTGTGGCACCCCACCACCTCTCTGCTGAATTCATGATTCATTGCAGTGGCCACACAGAACTCACAGATTATGAGGTTTATTAGAGAAGCAACAGGCTACAATTCAAGTTCAGGAATGCTCTCAGTCTCTTACAGCTGACCGTCTCTCTTAGCAGCTGGCTGTTTCTCTAAGTAGCATGTTTCTCACCAGTGTGTCTCTGTTGCATCTCTCTCAGCAGTGCGTTTCTCTCTTCACTCTCTTGTAGCATATCTCTTTCAGCAGTGTGTGTCTCTCAGCCAGCAGTCAGAGAGACTCGTTCTGCCTGTAGGAGGGCTCCTTTTGAGCCTGGCAGAGTTGCAGAACTAACCAATCCCAGCATCATGCCTGGGAGGGAGTTAACTTCCCAGAAGGTTGCTTCTTGCTGCGCCAACAGAAATACACCAGGTGGATAACTTTAGCAATCAGCTGCTCAGTTGCTCACAGGAAAGTGGGAGTTACAAAGTCTATGGCTAGAGAAGTGATACATGTAATTACTCCACACAGTATGTATTATGTATATGTATAATAGTGGATAAGGCATTTGGCTACTAACCAGAAGGTCAACAGCTCACAGCCACCAGCTGCTCTCATGGAGGAAGATGAGGCAGTCTACTTCTGTAAAGATTTACAGCCTTGGAAACTCAGTGGGGGTCACTATGAGTCTGAATTGACTAGATGGCAGTTGGTTTGGTTTTTGGTTTTAGTACATATATATAGTACTTAGAATAATGGTACTTGGCACATAGTAACTTTTCTATCAGCATTAGCTTTTACTACCCACATATACCTTCCACTCAAGCAAAACAGAAACCTATTTGGGTGCCCAGGTATGCTCTGTTCTTTTCCACTCTTCAATTAGGAATGCTCTCCCCATCAGAAGTCCATCACCTAATTTCCCTTTCCTGCCAACCTCTGGCTCACAAACTCTGACTTGTGGATAACACTCTGCTCTTTAGCCTGGTTACTTACTGAAGATGGAACTGAATTTGACTCATTTTTTCTGTCCCCAGCATTGCCCCACACAGAGCTAGGTACAAAATATTGTCAGGAAATATTTGTTAAATAGGAAGTTGAAGGGTCACTTAAGCAAAGAATCATTGTAATACCAATTACTTTTGATTAAGAAACTACTTTTTCATTTTATCTTTGTAAAAGCCATGCAAGTTACCTATTATCACCCTGATTAGCAAACAAGACTGAGATCTTAACTAAGCACCTAGTAATCTGATGGAGCCAGAATTGGAGTTTAGTTGTGCATGGCTCCAGACTCCCTATTCTTAGTCTAGCCTATCTCTACTTCCTGTGCAGAAGTCTTTGGAGGTAAGGTACTCTTGAGGCCAAGACCTCACTGTCATCCTCTCTCTCCTCAGATTGGCAGTGTTACTAGATATTGTACTAATCCACATCTGCATCAGGTAGAGTGGGCTAAACACAATGTTGACCACCACCCCAAGAATTACAGCATGGCTGATAGCTGCTCAGTGGACCGCCGCCCAGTGCTTCAGAGGATCATGGAGATGGACCCTCTGCAGCAGGGCCATGCTCTGTCATGTGCCTTGAAGAAGAAGAAGAAGATGCAGAAACGTACAGGTAGGTATCAAGGGTGGTGCACCTGAATACCCCTGACTCAAAAAGAAGCCCACCTGGGCTGGTTTTCTCAAAAGACCTTAAAGAATAACAGCTTTTTGACACTTGAAACCTGAGCTCTGGGTCCTTTGAATGAACATCTGCATAAGTTCAGCTCTAGGCTAGGGTTAGGGGGCAGGGATGGGTTAGGAGGCTCACCTACTGATATAGTGGTTCTCAAACTTTAGCTTGCATTAAAATCATCTAGAGATCTTGTTAAAACATGTATTTTTGATCCCTGTCCCTAAAGTTTCGATTCAGTAGGCTTGTTGTGGGTCCTGAAAATTGGTATTTCTAACAGGTTCTCAAAGGATGCTGATACTGCTCTTCTGCTCTTTGAGAACTATTGTAGTAGTCTGTGTTAACAAATAGCTAACATTTATTTATCTGATCCTTTATGTGCTAGGAAGGTTACTGAGTGTAATTTTTACTTAATCATTAGGTAATAGATTTAAAATATAAAAAGTACAAAAAGGTGTACAGTGAAATGTTTTTCTCCCTTCCCCCAGCCATCCAGGCTCTCAGAGGCAACTGGTTAGTTTTCTGTATCTCTTTCCTGAGATACACAAGTCAATAATACATATATTATTCTCTTCACACGAATGCTAGTCTTCTTGCCCAGTATTTTTCCATTCAGTGTATTTTAGGGGTATTCCCATTAAGTACACAAAAGAACTGAAGAATAATAGGGTGTAGCTGGAGGTGTAGCATTCAGGCTCAGAGCCCCTACTACAATGCTATACTGTGAGAGTTTTGTTTTGGATGTAATGTTAAATTCAACACAGTTTTAAAAAAAAACTTTTCTCATTTTTAGACTAGGTAAGGATAAAAATAATTGGATCCATGTGAGTCTAACACCCTAAGAGAGAAGCTAGGTTAGGGTGATCATCTCACTGATAGACAAATGGGTTTAACTGTGAGACTGAACAGTGGCTGCCAGTACCCCATCAGTTGTTCTGTTTATTGTTGGTGGGTAAGTGAGTGAATTTGGGAGCTCAGTGCAGACCAAGGTAGATGAAGGCCAGCTCCAAAAGGCCTCTGCCTTTTGTCGGCAATCCAACTACCAAATGACTGCCTGCCTATATTTCTCCATCTGCAGATAAAATGGCCAGCAAGCTGTGTGATTCCATGATGTCTGCCCTTGACCTCTCTGGCAACGCTGATGACAGTGCTGGTGACTGATCTCAC